ATAAGTATGTTAAGTCCTGGTCACTTTCAGCAAGCAAAGATGTATCATTTGCACATCACAGGCTGTTAATGAGTCTTTTTCCAATCCTGATGTCATGTTCTTCTTCATATAATCCAGTTTCTTGGAATATTTGCTTAGCAGACAGACTGAATAAGTATGGTGAGTGAAAGAATACAACCCTGGTACACACCTTTCCTAATTTTAAACCACTCGATGTCTCCTTGTTCTGTTCAGCAAAATTAAGTATTTCGGAATACCCATTCTTTTCAATGTTGTCCATAGTCTGTCATGATCCACACAGTCGAAAGCCTTTGCATAGTCAACAAAGCACAGGTAAATAACTTTCTGGTATACTATGCTTTCAGTCAAGATCCATCTGATGTGAGCAACGATATCCCACATTCCACGTCCTCATCTGAATCCAACTTGAGCCTCTGGCAGTTCCTTGTCAATGTACTGCTATAGCCGTTTTTGAGTTATCTTAGCAAAATTTTACTTATGTGTGAAATTAACAATATTATCCAAAGATTTCGATATTCTGTTGGATCACCTCTTTTGGAATGGGCATAAATATGGATTACGTTTCCTTATGTTAAACCATTCAGTATCCCTTTGTTCTGTAAGAACAACTGCCTCTTGATTGCTGTACAGGCTCCTCATAGCACAATTAAATGCTCTGGAATACCCTCCATTCTTTGCAATGTTATCCATAGCTTGTCATGATACACATAGTCAAAAGCCTCGGCACTGTCAATAAAGCACAGGTAAACATCTTTATGGTATTCTCTGCTGTTAGCCAAGATCCGTTTGACATCAGCAATAATATTACTCGCTTCACATCCTCTTCTGAAATTGGATTGGCTTCAATTTCTGGCAATTCCATGTTTTTGTACTGTTGCAATGGTTTTAAAATTATTGTCAGCAATATTTTACTTACATGTGAAATTAATGATATTATTCAAAGATTTCCACATTTCTCTGTGTCACCTCTCTTTGAAATGGGGACAAATATGGATCTCTTCCAATCAGTTGGCCAGGAAGCTGTCTTAAAAATTTCTTGGCATAGATGAGGGAGCACCTACATCAGTTTGTTGGAAGATTTCAATTTCAATTTGTATTCCATCAAAAATGAGGAGAAACAAATGCAAACATCCATTAATAATAGGAACATGGAATGCACTAAGTATGAATCTAGGAAAGTTGGAAGTTGTTAAAAATGAATGAAATGCATAAACAGTGATATCAAAGGCATTAGCGAGCTGAAATGGACTGATATTGGCCATTTTAATCAGGCAATCATATGGTTTACTATGTTGGGAACAATAAATTGAAGAGGAGTGGCATCACATTCATTGCCAAAAAGAGTATTTCAAGATCTGTCCTGAAGTACAATGCTGTCTGTAATAAGGATAATATCCATATGCCTATAAAACCAGTTCATACCACTTTTATTCAAATTATACACCAACCACTAGAGCCAGTGAAGACGAAACTGAAGTATTCTACCAATTGAAATTGATCAATTGGAAAACAAAGAGGAAGGATCAGTAGTTGGAAAATATGGCCTTGGTGATAGAAATGATGTTGGAGATCATTTGGATTGCAAGATAAAATTTCCTAAGACTATGACCTCTTCATTGTAAAAACCTTTTTAAACAACATAAAAGGTGAGCATACACATGGACCTCACCAGATGGAATATACAGGAATCAAACTGACTACATTTGTGGGAAGAGACAGTGGGAAAGCTTCATTTCATCAGCCAAAACAAGGCCAGGTGCAGACTGTGGAACACACTATCATTTGTTTGTAATGTAACTTCAGACTGAAGCTGAAGAAAATTAAAACAAGTTCATGAGAGGCAAAACATGACTTTGAACATATCCTACCTGAATTTAAAGATCATCTCAAAAAAAAAAAAAAAGATTTAATACATTAGACACTAACATCCGAAGACCAGAAGAGCTATGGGATAACATTAAGAATATCATACAGGAAGAAAACAAGAGGTCATTGAAAAGACAGGAAAGAAAAAAACGACCAAAATGGTGTCAGAAGAGACTTTGAAATTTGCTCTCCAGCATAGAAATGCTAAAGTGAATGGAAGAAATGAGGAAGTAAAAGATCAGAACATAAAATTTCAAAGGGCAGCTCGAGAAGACAAAATCAAGTATTATAATGAAATGTTCAAAGACCTGGAGTTAGAAAACATAAAGGGAAAAACATGCTCAGCATTTCTCAAGTTGACAGAACTGAAGCAAACAATTCAAGCTTCGACTTGCAATACTGAAGCATTCCATGGACCAAATATTAAATGACACAGAAAGAATAATAATAAAAATAGGAAGGTATACACACAGTCACTCTATCAAAAAGAAATGTTCAACCATTTAAGAGGTAGCATATGACCAAGAACTGATAGTACTGAAGGAAAGAGTTCAAGCTGCATTGAAGGTATTGACACAAAACAATGTATTTGGGAATGGGACTTTCTTGGTTATCAGTGTATTATGTATCTTGAGAGAATCACTTCTGAAATATAAGAAGAGCATATTAGGCAAAGAGGCAAGGAAGCACAGATGGGGAGATAGAAGTCATTATATCTAATGGTCACCCACGAACCAAGAAAAAGTCCCTGAAAAGAGACAAGGACCTTCTTCCCCCAGAGCTACAAGAGAAAGAAAGGTTTCTCAGAAAATCAATGGAATAAATTCAGCCTTCTAACCTCTTAAGTGTGAAAAAATAAATTTCTGTTCATTAAAGCCACACACTTGTGGCATTTCTGTGAGAGCAGCACTCAGAAACGAAGACATTACCCCAAATTGAGAGCAGCTGCATTGACATATGTACACCAGTGTTCGTGACATCAAGAGGCAGAAGGTAGAATCAATTCAAGTGTCCCCCAACAGATGAATAGAGAAACAAAATGTGATGTATACATACAATGGACTATTACTCTGCCCTAAAGAGAATGGTGTTTCTCTGCTATTCATAAGGTTTTCAGTGACTAAATATTCGGAAGTAGTTCGTCACTTCTTCTTCCTAGTCTGTCTTTGTCTGGAAGCTTATCTGAAACCTGTCCACCATGGGTGACCCTGCTGGTATTTAAAATACCGGTGGCGTAGCTTTCAGAATCACAGCAACTCACAAGCCACCACAATACTACAAACTGACAGATGAGTGGTGGGACAGTGAATTAGTAACATCATAGAAGAATTAATGCTTTTGAGTTATGGTGTTGGAGGAGAATATTGAAAGTACCATGGGCTGCCAGAAGAATCAACAGATCTGTGTTGGAAGAAGTGCAGCCAGAGTGCTCCTTGGAGGCCAGGATGGCCAAACTTTGTCTCTCACACTTTGCACATATTATCAGAAGGAACCAGTTACTGGAGGGTAAGGTGGAGGGTCAGAGAAAAAGAGGAAGACCCCCAGCGAGATGGATTGGCAAAGTGGCAGCATCAATGGGCTCAAGTGTGGCAACAGTAGTGAGGTAGGCCCAGGATCGGGCAGTGTTTCATTCTGCTGTGCATCAGGTCACTATGAGTTGGTACTGACTTGATGGCACCTAACAACAACAACAACAAAGAGAATGGTAATTCTGATACATGCTAAAACAGGTATGAGCCTTGTGAACATTATGCTGAGTGTAATAAGTCAAACACTAAAGGACAAATAATGTAAGATTCCGTTTATGTGAAATATCAAAAATAGGCAAAGGCATGGAGACAAAAGCATTTATGAGGTTACCAGGTGTGGGAAGGTGGGAAGGAGGAGGGAAGTTACTGCTTAAAGGGCACTGAGTTTTTGTGAAGGAAATAAATAGTGATGATGGTCATACAAAATGGTGAATGCAAGTAACGTCACTGATGGTACACATAAAAATGATTCAAATGGCAAGTGTTTTGTGAAATATATTTTTACCACAACTTAAAAAGAAAAATAGGAGAAAGGAACATCCCTAATAGAGTTGCTTTGAGGATCAAATGGAATATCCTTGTAGTAACACAACTGTCCAAAGTATGAGAGATGAAGTCTGGCCATCCTATCTTCTAAGGAGCACTCTGGCTGAACTTCCAACACAGATTTGTTTATTCTTTTGGTGGTTCATGGTTCTTTCAATATTTTCCCCCAACATCTTAGGAGGGACCAGTCCCTGGAGAAGGACATCATGCTTGGTAAAGCGGAGGGTCAGCGAAAGAGAGGAAGACCTCCAACGAGATGGACTGGCACAATGGCAGCAGCAAAGGGTTCAAACGTAACAATGATCGTGTGGTTGATGCAGGACCAAGCAGTACTTCATTCTGTTGTGCGTAGGGTCACTATGAGTACGTACTGATGCAAAAGCAATAACAATAACAATAACAATGAAGTAATACTGACTGTGTTTCCTAGTACAGAAATCTACTCGACAAATTCTCATTGCTATAGCCACAAAAATGACAAATGATATTTCCGCTCTCAAGAAAGATTAGGACATTGGATTAATGTCACCTTGGAATCTCCATAGTTACCAATAAAGTACAATGGACATGGCATTGTGCATACGTCTCCAGTAATTTACTTGATGCTGTAAGGAGCACCAGATGCAGTAGTTGCTCACTTTTTAGAGACCATGGAGAAATAAGCATCTTATTTGTTTATATGTATGCATATGAGACTCCATTGGATCTACTTGAGGAAAGGAGACAAGCGCACTGGAATATTCAATATCTGTTTCTATGAATGGACAGAAAAACCCCAACTGGGTAGAACAGACACTGAGGGCTGCATGGTCGCAAATGATATTCCTCTTTTCTCTTTTCAAACCCCAACCATGATTGACGCTGTCTTCAGTGAGTGCCAGTAGAAAAGGACAGGGATTGAACAATTAGAGAAGCACATTCAAAGAGGGGAGGAAAGGGAACGAAGGAGAGGGAAACAGAGGAGCAAAGGTCAGAGACGGCAGGAGGGCAGCCTGTATGGGGAGCGGCCCCCATGTGCTGCAAGGCAGGTAGACTTACTTCTGCAGGGTCTGAAAGCCACGCTCCTTAAACTGCAGCTCCTGTTGGAGGTGAACCATCTCTCGCTTCAGCTTGTTGACCTGGATGGAGGAAGACCAGAGGTCTGGATAAGAGGCGGAAGTCAAGCAGCAGTCTGTCTTCTCACCCCAAAAGTGTCCCCCATGGTCCCTGGTAAACACACCTTGGCCACACTGCTCACAACACATTCCCTTCCCCAATGCCAGCCTTGGCTTCTGCAACTTCTCATTCAGCCAACAACCCAGCTCAACTTGCCTGCAAATCTTCTTAGCCAGTCCCCACTCTAGGAAAACAGGAAGTGGAAGGGAGCTGGCTGACCTGGGATAGAGCTTGGCCTTGCCCCTTCCTGGCTGTGTGGCCTCTCTCAAGCTATTGTGCCTCACTGAGCCTCCTTTTTTAAAATTCTGACTGGTGAGGACGCATCACCCCCAGGGTTGTGCATTACTTAAAGCAGTTAATGGATATGAGAGTGTTTGTCAGCAGGTGAGAGACATGGTAATAACTTTGGAGGGAGAACATGGGCTAAGAAACAGTATTCCCAAAGATAGTCCAGAAGTCAGATCCAGCCTTCAGAACTGATTTGTTTAACCTATACAGTGTTGTTATTATTTGTTTTACAATAATGATTTACTAATAATTAAATATTGAGGGATTTCATAAAATTTGGTGGTCAAGTACCATGGAGTCAGCTCCAACTCATAGCGACCCTGTAAAGTGTTTCCGAGGCTTTCAGTCTTTACTGGAGCAGAAAGTCCCATCTTTCTCCCACAGAGCAGCTAGTGGACTTGAACTGCAGACCCTGAAATTCACAGCCCAGTGCTTGTCCTATGGAGCCACCACACATCAGCAGCAATTTCATAAAATTAGCCTATGTATGTAGTTCTTTATATAAAAAAAAAAAATCCGAAAATCTGGCAACACCGGGCCCATGCTGTAGAATTACCACAATACGCTAGTGCTGACTGAATTCCACTACCTTTCAGACAGGGCATATTTCCCTAGTTTATTCCGTCCTCACTACTTCCTGCTACATACCCAGCCCACTTCCCTCGATAATGTTTTCTTTGCAGGCATCTCAGTTTGTGGCACCTACTTGGAGTTTAATTAAAGCAGAGCTCAAACAAAGTGCTGACTATACCTTAAGCAAATGACTTAACTGCTGTGTTTTAGCTTCTGCATCAGTAAAATGGGAATCTTGAGCCTCCAAGGTAATCAAGAAGATTAAATAAGGGAAAGTAGAGTAGCAGTAGCTAGGAAGACATCATACTACATTAAGAACTTTGGAATAAGGCTTGAGTCCCTTAAGTCCTTCAGTAAATTACTTGGCTCCCCTGAGTCTCTTGTTTCTTCGTCTTTAGAATGCAGATAATGGTAGTAGCTACTTCGTGGAGTTGTTGCAAAGACACAAAATGAAATAAGACACAAGATGCATTTAGCATGTGTCTGTTACATGGTGATCACATAAAATACGGTAGCTGCTGTGATTATTACTACTACTATCACTCCTACTACTGTTACTATGGAGTCCTAGTGTGGTGCACTTTAGGATCAAGCCCACCAGCTGCTCCTTGGGAACCCTATATAGGGTCTTTATCAGTTGGAACTGGTTTGATGGTACTCAACAACAACTTCATCTCTCATACTTCAGGCATATTGTCAGGAGGGACCAGTCACTGGAGAACGATATTTTGGTGAGGTGGAAGACCCCCAGCGAGATGGATTGGCAAAATGGCAGTATCAATGGACTCAAGCATAGCAACGATTATGAGGTTGGCCCAGGACCGGGCAGTGTTTTGTTCTGTTGTGCATATGATTGCTATGAGTTGGTACCAACTCGATGGCACCTAAGAACAACAACAACAACTGTTACTATTGTTAATATTTAATGGATTTGTTATCAGCAGCGGGTGCCAGTGTGACCTTCTGGGTAGGTTAGAAGCCTGAAGCTGCCTCAGTGACCCCATCAGTGGTATAGGTGAAGAGGCCATACCCGGGATTTTGCAGTGGCAATTTCAGCTTTCAGGATTTCAGGGTCATACTTAGAACTGGATGATGAACCAGAGACCACTGCAATGAGAAAGGGGGAAAAAAAAGATATTTAAGAAGAAACACATTTTGACAAAGTTAGATTATTAGGCTATCTAAATAAATCTAATATGTACTAATTGTAAATAACCTAAATGTCCAACAATAGGGGATTTGTTAAATAAATGTGGTCAATTAATAAAAAAGATACTATGCAATGCAAGCAATTTAAAAAAATCGAGCATTACAATATTTAATAACAAAAGAAAATGTTCCAAACATGTTTTCGTTCTTAATACGTCCTTTTAAAAATTGTAATTGTTGAAAATATAAACACAAAAACATACACAAAGTTTCTATATGTCCAATTCAATGACATTAGGTACCTTTGAGATGTGTGACCATTCTCAGCCTCCTTTTCTGAGTTGTTTCACCCTCATTAAAATAAACTCACTGCCCTTTGTGTTTCCTATGTAATCTTTCCAGTTGCTATTAGTTTGATCCCATATAGACAGCTCTGAAAAGAACATAATATGCAAAGAAGACCTTTTTGTTTTACTAAACAGTTAAGCTAAACTATTATTTGATTTCAAGAAGACTCAGGGGATACTATTGGTTGAAGAATTAAAGATTATTTTAAGGCAATATATTTAGTGGTTCATCCAGTCTCTATAGCTCCAGAATATCTGGATTGCATCAGAATTTAGCTTTCTGTCATACATTTCCCCCTTTTGATCAGGATTCTTTTACAAAATCTTGATGAAAATATTCAGTAATGGTAGCCAGGCACCATACAGTTCTGGTCTCATGGCCGAGGAGGCAGATGTTCAGGGAGGTAATTAGCTACACATTCCATCTCCTCCTTCTATACATAATTCTCCTTCTTCCTCTGTTACTCCAGCTGAAGGGAGAAATCAATTGTGCCTTGGATGGCCTCTTGCAAACTTTTAAGACCCCAGGCACTATGCCATGAATTAGGGGATAGAACAGAAAGTCTAAACATTTTATTAGGCTAATTAACTAAGATGTCCCAAGAAACCATAACCTTAAACCTCCAAACCAAGAAACCAAATCCCATGAAGTGTTTGTTGTTGTTGTCAGGTGCCATCGAGTCGGAACCGACTCATAGCGACCCCATGCACAGCAGAACGAAACAATGCTCGATCCTGGGCCAACCTCACCACCGCTGCCACCCTGAGTCCATCAATGATGCCACCTGGCCGATCCATCTCGTTGGAGGTCTTCCTCTTTTTCTCTGACCCTCCACCCTACCCAGCATGACATCCTTCTCCAACGATTGTTTCCTCCGGACTACATGTCCAAAGTAGGAGAGACGAAGCTTAGCCATCCTGGCCTCCAAGGAGCACTCTGGCTGCACTTCTTCCAAAACAGATCTATTGGTTCTTTTGGCAGTCCATGGCACCCTCAGTATTCTCCTCCAACACCACAACTCAAAGGCATCAATTCTTCTACGATCCTCTTTATTCACTGTCCAGCTTTCGCATCCATATGAGGCTATTGAAAACACAATGGCCTGGGTCAGGCGCACCCTAGTCCTCAAGCTGACATCTCTGCTCTTCAATACTTTAAAAAGTTCCTGTGCAGCAGATTTGCCCAGTGCAATACAACGTCTGATCTCTTGACTGCTACTTCCGCGAGTGTTGATAGTTGATCCAAGAAGAATGAAGTCCTTGACAACTTCAATCCTTTCTCCATTGATAAGAATGTTGTTTATTGGTCCAGTGGTGAGGATTTTTGTTTTCTTGACATTGAGATGCAATCCATATCGAAGGCTGTGCTCTTTAATCTTCATAAGTAAATGTTTCAAGTCCTCTTCACTTTCAGCGATCAAGGTTGTATCATCTGCATATCGCAGGTTGTTAATGAGTCTTCCTCCAATCCTGATGCCACGTTTTTCTTCATAGAACCCAGCTTCTCGTATTATTTGCTCAGCATACAGGTTGAATAAGTATGGTGAAAGAATACAACCCTGTCTCACACCTTTCCCAATTTTAAAACTTTCAGTGTTCCCATGTTCTGTTCGAACAACTGCTTCTTGGTCTAGGTACAGATTTCTTAGAAGTACAATTAAGTGTTCTGGAATACTCATACTTCTCAATGTTGTCCATAGCTTGTCATGATCCACACAATCGAAAGCCTTTGCGTAGTCAATAAAGCACAGGTAAACATCCTTCTGATATTCTCTGCTTTCAGCCAAGATCCATCGGACATCAGCAATGATATCTCTCGTTCCACGGCCTCTTCTGAATCCAGCTTGAACCTCTGGAAGTTCTCTGTCAATGTATGACTGTAGCCGTTTCTGTATTACCTTGAGCAAAACTTTGCTTGCTTGAAGTGTTTGGTTGTATATAAATAGGCTCAGTAGGTACTCTTTCTGTTGTTAACTATTATCTATCATACAGCTTTGGACAATTCAACATTTTCGTGGTGTCCAACTTATCAGCGGCAATTATATTAATCAGCTATGTATTGCTAATCTTAATTGATGTTAATCTTTCCATCACCATTAACCAAAATGCAATACCCCATAAGCAGTAGTCCTACACTTTCCTCCCACTCCCTCAGAATCATGAATAAACTGGTCTTTATACATTTGCTGTTCTTGTCTTTTTAAGTGTAGTCATACAATAGTGGTCATTTTGTGACTGACTTATTTCAGCATAATGTCTTCAAGCTCCATCCTTTGGAACATGTTATATGCAAAAAAATAGTTAATAGAAATTGTAAGTAATCATTTAAATGTAGAAAATACGAGACACACGTAAGGATTTTTAAATGACTGTAAAGAAATATACCAAAATGGTCAACCATTCAAGATGAAAAACACAACATTTACCTGGGGACAAGATTCAGATGGTTGGGAAGGAGGGTGGAATGGAGATAGGAACCACAGGAAGGAAGTGAGATAACTGTTGTTACATGGAAGGGATTGCAGTCATTAAGAAGAAACAAAGTGTGTATTTTGTTGATCTTCTCTGTTAACCTTCGCTTAATTAACAATGAAAAATTTTCAAACAAAAATGGAGAAATAGGTCAATCTAGAGTGACACGTATGAATATTAAAGGTCATATTTTCTAAGACAAACATTTCTTTTTATAATCAGAAAAGCCACTTTAGAAAGATTTATTCTATTTTATAGTATCAACAACATGGTCATACAATAGTGGTCAAAAAAAAAAAAAAGGAAAATGATTACCCATAATCCTACAACCCTAGCACAATTATCTTTCGCCCAAGTTACCTTCTAGTATTTATCCACAGTTCTCTCACATGGTTGTTACCTTACTACACTTAAAAAATATATATTTACTTATTGATGTCCTGAAAAAAGAACCTCAAAATGCACACAAAAGAACAAAAAAAACTCTGCTCACACCTTGAGTTCAGACCTCTAGCCTCTGGTTCTGAGAATCAATTTCTGCATGGTAAGCCAGGCACTTTGTGGTAATTTGTTACTGTTGTTGTTATGTGCCGTAGATTCGGTTCCAACTCATAGGGACCCTGACCAGGGTTTCTGAGTCTGTAAATCTTTACGGGAGCAGAAAGCCTCATCTTTCTCCCACAGAACAGCTGGTAGTTTCAAACTGCTGACCTTGTGGTTCGCAGCCCGATTCGTAACCACTACGCTACCAGAGCTCCTGTTGTTAAGTGCCATTAATTTGAGTCCAACTCAGTGACCCTGTCACTATATATATATATATATATATATATATATATATATATATAGTGACACACACACACACACACACATATGGACTCTTGATGTGGCGCTATAGAATCAGTTCTGGACTGTGAACCACAAAGTTGGCAGTTCAACCCACCAGCTGCTCCTCGGAAACACTATACAGGGTCACTATGAGTAAGAACCAACTTGACGGCACTTAACACACACACATATATATAACTACAAATTTGGTGACTTTAAAGAAAAGAAATGTGTTGTCTTATAGTTCTAGAGTCTAGAAATTCAAATCAGGATACTGACCACTGTCTTTGTTGTCTAGTGTTAATATAACACAAACTACCAGTGGATGGCTTTAACAAGCAGAAATTGATTCTCACAGTTTAGGGGCTAGGGTACCAGTCCTGGTGTGGTGCTGTGGGTTAATGCACTGGACTGCAAGGTTGGTTTGAACTACAAGGTTGGCAGTTCAAGCTCACCAGCTGTTCCTTGGAAACCCTATACAGGGTCACTACGGGTTGGAACTAATTTGACAGCACTTAATAGCAACAACAAACAAGTTCTAGGATAAAGGAGCTCTGGTAATGTAGTGGTTACGAGTCAGGCTGCTAACTCAAGGTCAGCAGTTCAAAACTACCAGCCAGTCCATGGGACTTTATGCACCCATAAAGATTTACAGCCTCGGAAACCCTGTACAGGGTTGCTATGAGCCAGAACTGACTCCGTGGCACACAACTACTACTACCACCACCAGTTCTAGGGCAAGACTTTCTATCAACTCTGGGGGCAGGTCTTTGCCTCCTTTCAATATCTGTGGGCTTGTGTCCCTTGGAGATCTCCATGTATGTTAGCACTAATTTCCCCCTGTCGTTGTTAAATGCCTTTCAGTCTGTTCTGATTTCTGGTGGCCCAGTATAGCATTTCCAAGGGCAGTTGGTGGGTTTGAACTGCAGATTTTGTGGTTATCAGTTCAGTGCTTAACCTACAGCACCACACCAGGACTTCCAATCTTCCCCTTGTTGTTGTTAAGTACTGTTGAGTTGTTTTTGACTTTTAGCAACCCTGTATAGGGTTTCTGAGGAACAACTGGTGAGTTTGAACCACCAACCTTGCAGTTCAGATTGACCTTGAGGTCTAGTGCTTAGTCTATAACATCACATTAGGAAATTCCCAGAGCAGGGACCCTTGGTCTAAAGGACTTGCTCTACTGGTGGCTTTCCTTTTTTCTTTTTTGGTGGTAGTAGGTCCCTCTGATCTCTGCTGGTTTCTCATTCCTGTGATCTCTTGTAAGATGAAAGGTGATAGATGAGTATATCATTATAGAGCTACCGTAGTCCA